GAGAGAGGTATTTTGGTGGTTGGCATTTGTGCAACGCGACGACGGGGGACGGGGACACAAGGGTGAGTGAGTAAGTTATCTTTTTTCATTTTTGTTTTATTTTATTTTCGTCTTTCTTCCCAGTTCTGCCCTCAACGGTGCAGGTCGGGAGGGAGCAAGAGCTGATCTGGGTACGGACGGGTACATACTTGCCAGCACGGCACGTATGGCTCGCTCGCTTGCCTGCTCTCCTCGCTATGGTTGTTCTCGTGGTCGCACGCAGCGACAGCCCGAGCTCCATGGCGGTGTTTGTTCACGGTCCACGATTCAGGATGTGGCGCGGGGGGAGGACCGGGGAGGACAAGACAGGGATAAGGACTGAGAGACTGAGACGGGGAGAAAGAGTGAAAACGGCGAGCCCCATGTGCGCCTGAGATGTAAATAAATGGCTTCTTCCTGTTCTTCTCGTCCTTGTTCTCGCTATAGCCCTCCTCTGGCAATTCTGCTTCTCTTACCCTCATTTCTCTGGCGAAATCATTTGCGCCAATTTTTCCGTGTCTGGTGTCGCCTGACCGTTGACCCGAGGGAAACAAGAAAAGAAAGGACGCAACAATGAAGCTTTCCTCCATCCTCTACTCAGGTCTCGCGGTAGTAGCCACTGCTTCTGCATACAGCATCGACCTGTGGAGCAAGTACGACTACCAAGGGGATCAAGCAAAATTCGTAATACGCCTCCTCTCCTCCTTTTTATTTGAGATCAACAACCTGCCAGTGCCAAAATACACTCACTGACAACGAAGCACAGACAACCGCGTAAATCACACTTCCCTTTCTCACTACGATAATACGGCGGAGGATAAAGGAAGACAGAAGCTAACCAGTTAACGTGAGATGACATAGTGGCATACACAAGGTCACCTGGTCTGGGGGAGCGGGTTCGTGGATATGGAAGTCCGACTTCAAGGATGGATGCTGTGTGGTCTTTTGTCGGGGAAGCACGGTGAGAAATCCTCTTATTCTCCCACTTCCCTCATCTTTGTTCCTTCCTTTTATATTCGCTGACCCCTCTCTGTGTGGAGTAGAATGTCGGGAAGTATTGTCAGTCGGCTGAGAAAGCAGAATCATCCGCAGGAGCGAACAAAGTCGTCATAGGATGCGGAAACACCACCTTGAACTGCTAAACGGATCCTTTTGCCCCGTAGAAGGGCTGGGATGATGTTCTATCGTTGACGATCGATCACCCGAACCCTCTCAAGCCATCCCTCAGTTGAAATAGATGTGCCTCCGTATTCAACACGCACTCATCCAGACTGATCGGATCCGCTCACTGAGGAGATAGAATTATTTCAAAGTTTCCGACTAGAGAATCTGACGCTTCTCATGTACTTTTCCTCCTGAGTCATTCGGAAAGCGGAGTGATGAATCCCCGAACTCTGCCAAGTTTGGGAGGCAGTCTGACATATATGCTGAGGCCATAAGCTGCTATCAATCCTTACAGGGTGCACGCGGTGGGTGCGAACAAGTTGATCGCACAGGTGCCTAGGTCCTGGTGAAAGCAACTCTGAGAGTAGCGTTGACAGCTTCCTGACCCTCGTATTCGAGGCCATGCAAGGTGTGGCTAGGATTCACCGGAATCAGTGGAATGATGTTCAGTAAATGAATGATTGTTAATACAGCGAAGCCAATCAGATTGAACTATTTCCATGGCACATTCCGCTGGCTCCATGACAAGTCCCGAAAATAGACCCCTCGGTTGGAGGACAAAACGAAGACAGAGGAAGCGAAGCCGGCTGAGCTTTGTGGCCAACAGAGAGGGTTATGCTAGTAAGCAGCAGGCGGCATGAGCGGCCGCACAAGATGCAGTTAGCGATAATAGCAGCTCCTTGAAGGTCACGCAGAGAGGTATGTAATTGAGACGAGCTCTGAGCTCTCTCAAGGACGCGGCTGAATGAGTCTCGCGGATATGAGGATGGGGAGTCGTCGCCATAGGAGCCTAGAACTAGAGAGTAGCCCGTCCCAGATGGGCTTTGATGATCAGGAGAGGTTGCATTGGGGGAGTTTGTCAGAAATTGATTTGATGTTGATACAAACGCGCCAAGATCCGAGCAGAGGCCAATGCCATGTGGCTCAGTGGAGAAGATGAGGGGGACGCAGGGAAAAAGCAAGAGCAGTTGATTGGGACGGCTTGACCGCAAGATTGGAGTGTGTGAGAGATGAAAGACGCAGGTAGGGCAGGCAAAAAGGACGGTCAAGAGTCAAAGACCCAAATCAAGACAGTCGTTAGTCCCGTCAGATGGCAATGCACAAATCAGCCTTAGGCCTCCCTTTGGTCTCTCTCCTTTGGCCTCCTCCGCTTGTCCTGTCCCTCCAGCCCTTTCTCCCTCCTCTCCATGTCTCCATGTCTCCATGCCCTGTCATGTCCCTCTCTTCTCTCTGTACCGCCTATTCCCACTCCCCTCAGAGTTCTAGAACCTCTGTTCCCATCAGGCTTCATCTTTTCATAGCAGGCATGACTGCGCCTGACAATTGCCGCCCCCCCTGCCCCTTTCCCCCTGGCCCCCAGCATACGTATCCCCTATCAAACTGTTCAATTTACTGCCGCGACCACGGAATACTTCGCCTCATGCAATAGTCTCGGAACTCTATGCATCCATCGAGCACCTGCAGCTTCCCTGACTGCCCTCTGACTGGACTGTGTCCCTTGATTCTTGCTGCATCTAGTGCAGAGTGCTCTAGTGCAGGGTGCTTTTTCTGGAGGAAAACATTTCCGCAAAGTCCTAGGGGCATCCCCAGCATTGCATAGGGCTGAGTACCCTGCAGCCGCCCGATGTCGACTGCATCCAATCGCCGAGCCTCTCATGGAATGTATTTGTGAATTCTCCGGTACATAGCTGGCCTCGGCTCGCATTCGCCAACAATTGGATCCTAAGTTGCCGTGGGGGGTTCGATTGACTTTGGTCGAGCTGCAACTGATCAACGTCGGACGGGATGGCAATGCCGCCTGGGGCCTCACCAGCCTTCACATCACACATCATGGTTGTATTTTTGTGCTGCCACGATGACCCCCTCGTACCTGTTAACCCTATGTTCTAATTTCGCTCATACCGCTTTTTGGCAGATCGGTGAAGCCTCCCTAGCCTCTCGTATGCGCCAGAAGACGGCCATGCTGGCTATGCCCCCGCTCTCAGCCTTATGCCCAGGCACCTGCGCGGGTCTCGCACCCTCTGCCGACATCGCTCCTTGGCTCAGTGTTGGCATTGCGCGTTGAGCAACGCATAAGCTACGCATCAAAGTGCATTGGCACCATTGGCATCAGTGGTAAGCAAGCTCAGGCATCAGATTGTTAATTGACTCAACCTCTACACACTCCGCACCAGCACCATCCTAATTCGCTTACCTCCGCTTACAACCGAGCGTATTCTGGAAAAAGCATCTCGCCCAGGCAACAGGCAAGAAATGCGGTTGCAGATTATGTAGGCCCTGCAGATCGCTCCTCGATTTGTCTTGCCTTAGGCCGAGCAGCTGAAAAGAGGGTTCCGCTTCATATCCGCGTTGCGGTGATATTGTAGAGTCATGTTGTCGGCGTGATCGACCTCCAGAACATCTTCGCCGTCATGTGCGGGAGACAAATGCTACCATTTGCAGGCAACGCCATTGGCAGAGGAAGTAACATACTGTCTAGTCTTGCGCCAGAGTCCGAATCATCGGTTCTTTTGCACTTTATTTACTCATCATGGTATCTTCCGCGAGAACACACCTCATCAAGGACCTCGAACTCGACCGAAAGACGCCTGAAGCAGCGGTCGGTACAAGGGAGGCATGGGTCTCTTGAGTTTGCCGACGACATTAAGCCCTATGGCCCTAACCAAAGTGGACTTACATACATATCTCCACCTGATGACCCGTGTCTACTACTGGAACGTCCTCCTAGGTATGCTCCCGGGCCCGCCCTATCAGACCTAGAGGTGAGAAGTCAAGGATAGATGGGAGAAAAAACAGCTCTGTCAGCAACTGCCCACGAGGAGCGCTACCTTGCGATGCAGTCCCAATCATGTTCAACGACCATCGTGGCGCTCTTCCACTATCTGATCTCGACCCCAGAGTCGGATTCTCTTTCGGCCCTCTCTACAGTAGGCCCTAGGTCCCTATTGTTTCTCGCCCCGTGGAGGTGGAAAGGCACAGCCTAAATGTGGACGAGACCGCTTGATGTCTCTGCTGCTGAGCCACAGTCGTGACTTCGTCGGATGAAAAGAAATGGACTGTTCCAGTTCCCTGACTTGCACTTTACAAGTTACAACTAACGAGGGACGACCAGTGACAGGACCTCCCCGACCAGTCCTTGTGCTAGGTTCCACCCATTCCGATTCAGCTCAAGTACCTCTGGCTCCACATGGTCTCCCAGTGGTACCATATCAACAAACGATCTGCTCAGGACAATCTCTCAGGAACACAAGACCCTAACATAGCCGCGCAATGGTAAGTCAACTCAAGCACGATACCACCGAAGAGAAATAGAAAACAAACCAAAGGAGGAAGGCAATGAGGCTGAGACTTGATCTTGTCCCTTGGGGCCTCCAGACACCACTGTTATCCCTCCTTCCCCTAATTATCCCACCCCTGCGTCTTTCCCTTATTATACAGAGCGCATAAGTTGAAGGTTAATTTGTCCCTTACCGACCCCAATATCCGGGACACTATCTCATTACCCGCCTAGCCAACTACATCTGTTGCACGGCGTTTATATTGTTCCTCACCGGGCCTTTCCTGTCGGTCCTGTTTTGCTTCCTGAAAAGAACTGCATACTCACAATCCCAGTTTGATAGGCTAGGCCTTGCTTCTCCCACTTCAACCTCGACCTGTCCGAAGATAAAGTTGAATCTCTTTGGATACCAGTCCAATCATCGAATGCTCGAAGATATATCCACAACTGCCATGGGCAGTGACCCGACTGCTGTCAACCCCAAAGAACCTCCTCCACTTCCTTCTCGTACGATGCCAGGCGATAAGGCGCGAACGAAAAAATGGGCCCCGAAGACGTTCAATGGGTGTCTGACGTGCAAGTGTGTCTCAAATGTCTCCTTATATTCTTCCTTATTCCTGACAAGACGATTGAAGGCGAAGAAGGATAAAGTGCGACGAGGGAAAGCCGACGTGTCAGAGGTTGGCGAAATCCCGACAATTTCATCAATTCTTTCACTGATATGATCCAGATGCATCAAATCAAACATCAAATGTAATGGATATGCTGCACCCAAGATCAGGCTGTTTGAACCAGCATCAGCATCAGCAGCTTCATCCTCGACACAGCCACCAGCGGCAGACACAGGACTTCTATCTGGACAGGAGTCAGCAGTCCTCTACGACAGTCAAACGAATTCCCGCCTCGAATCTTATCATCATCCTCAACAACTCTCCCTCGTCCCCAGATTCGGCACGCAGGAAGAATCTCAGTCCTTCCAATTCTTCCTCGAAAAGACCTCTGACCTGATCTCAGTATACTCGCAGCCGTATCTATGGACGGTACTCCTGCCTCAAGCCACATGGCACCAACCCTCTATTAAACACTCTCTCATTGCACTTGCCTCGCTACACCAATACCTCACCACGGTCGGCCCAGCCTCACAAAGAGCAAATCAGAACTTCGTGTTCCACTACAACAATGCCATCCGCGCCCTGGTGGCGGACAAGCCGTCCATTGACATTGTGCTGGCGGCATGTGTCATCTTTTGGGCGCTGGAGAACTTCAATGGCGGTGGTCAATCGGCCATTGACCACATGCAAGCTGCAATCAAAATCTTAGGGGAGTGGAAAAGTAAACGTCGACCAAACGACCCTGCAAAGGACTTTATTACCAAATACATCGAGCCAACGATTCGAGATGGCGTCAAATTCGCCTCGAAATGCCGGGTTGAGGAGTTGGCGGGCCAGATGAGCGCTCTTTCTCTGACAACACGCGACGTGAGGATCATGAACTTCGACTACCCTCAATTTAACAACCTGGAGGACGCAGGAGACTATCTGGGGGACTGCATCAACAAGATTCTAGTACTGAAAAGCCAGGCAAAGGCACCGCTCTCTCCAAGTCCCGACCTCATCGAACAGATGGAAGAGCTGGACGCCCGCCTCTACAAATGGATGAACTTGTTCCAGAACCTCACGGCTACGGGGCCCGTATACATCCGACGCATGCTCGTGGTGCACAACGTCACGGCAAATATCCTGTTAGATCAACTCAAGACACAAGCACAATACAGCAGCACGACCGACGAAGAACAGGAACAGGAGGCGCGTCGCTGTCGATTCGACTTCACAGTCATTGAGGTCGAGGATATATTGAGATACGATCCACTTGCCACAGTGGAGTCCCGCAGGAAGAAACCCCCGAGTCTAGGATTCATTCCACCCGCCTTCCTGGTGGCAACGACAGCGCCGAAACCAGAGACCAGGACAAGGGCGATCAACTTGATGAGGATGTTGAATGTGACCGAGGGGCCGTGGAGCACAGAGCACGCGGTGCAGATTGCCGAAGGGATGCTGGAGATTGCCCGCGACTGTGCTGTTCCCATCTCGGCAGTCGACCTGCGGCACATGCACTTCGAGTTTGACGAAGGCCGCAGGGTGTTGAGTATGAGATGGGAGCCAGAGGACCGGGCTGTGCTGAATGTGAGCATGGTCAAGCGCATCAATGCTCAGAGTATGAACTGGAGGGACTCGGTAAGTCGACTTTTTCCCATTGTGCTTGGGACTAACACTTTGCAACAGGATATGTGTTCATTTATCAGGAGATTCGGCTACCAGTTCCCTTCCTCGGCTTTGATGCAGTCTTCATGATTGATACGAAATGACCATCCTCTTAGCGATCTGTTTGCACGGAATTGGGAAGATCAGAACAAAGTGAAAAGGGTCAACGGGACGGAATCAACAACAGAAGCTCACGGTTACTTTTCAGCACAAATGGTTATGTTTCAGGATCCTCTCCTCCCCCCGGGCGGAGCTCTTGATGTGTCTTATTTCCATTCCCCCTTTCCCTTTGACTTTTGGAATTATGACCATAACAACAAGTCTACGATATCACGGCGGTGTTCGTCAAATGCATTATTTAGCATGGCAGTTAGCTACATTATACAAAGCGCTCATTTGTCACCAGGTGCATAAGGGACGAACGAACGCAAAGATCTTACAGGTTTCATTTGCATGCAATCTCATTTTAGAATTATGCTTTGAAACCTTCGTTTCTCTGTGCCCCTTTTTTTTGGGCGTCGCCCCTTATCTGTCTCGTTTGGCTGGCCGGCTGGCTGACTGGCTTGGAAGTTCTCTCATTTCATCTCGGCAGCGCAGAGATGCCTTGACCTGTGCTCGGACCTATACCCGTGCCCGTGCCTGTAGTCGTACCCGGGTGGCTCTGACTCTGACTGCCCTGCCTCGACGACTTGGCCGCACTCCCCGTCGCAGCCTCTTGTTCCAAGAAATGCTGCCACAGTTCCGCCAGGGTCTCCCGCGAGTGCGGACTGGTCGCGCTGTCGGGCCCGGCTGCGCCGAAGTAGTCGGGGTGGTTGAGCGCCGGCGTGCTCGGCGTCCTGTGCATGATCGGCGACCCAGGCGCCGGCGCTGCCAGGGATCCTAACCCGCGCAGAGAATTGAAGCTCGAGGTAGGAGGTGCCGTCGCGGTGGTGCCGGGCCTGGCCAGGCCGGCCTGTTCGCGCTGCTCGTCCGTCCAGCCCAGCAGGGCGGCGATGAGCTGGAGGATCTGGAATTTCTTGGGGTCCGACCGGTCGAGCGCCAGGAAGTGTAGGAGGTGGTTTGTCACTATCTGCCTGTATGGGCCGCGAAAATTCAAAGGACGGCTTGTCAGCGAAAGAGAACACCATTGATTGGTTGCAATTTCCAAAGAAGGGTTGAAAAGGGAGCAGGGTCTTAGGCTGAAAAGGGGGGGAAAGGACCTCAGCCTCGTCAGGTGGCAAATGATCTGCGCTTTGGGCGCAATGATCTAAATTTATAGTTCTTACACCGCATCATCACCAAGCCAGAGGGTCGAAATGCGGAGTAACGAGCAATCGGGTAACGATGAATCCATGACTCGGAGTTGAAAGGGTAAGGAAGTTGCATCGCTGATAATGCAAAGAAAGAAGGATGGGGGGAAAAAAAGACTCACCTGTCCACGTTATCCTCGGGCTTGCCCTTCTTGAGAAACCTCAGCGCTTTGGTAAGATGATCGTTGAGAATCACCGCTTCGTGCCTCAGTTTGCCGATCAGGAGGTTCTTCTCCTTGACTTCCTTTTCGAAGGGAAGGGCTCGCTCGAGTTTCTTTTTGGTCCCCTCCAGTTCCGCGACGGTAGAGTCATAGATCGATTGGAGATCTGACAACTGTTTCCTCAGTGCTTCCTGTTCCTTCTGGGAGGTTTCGACCAGTTCTTTCAGCTCCTGTTTTCGCACCGTTTGGATCTCCTGGAGGGCTTTCTGCAGGCCGTCGACCGCTCCAGAGTGGGTGTCCCTCTCACTCGCTGCTTTCTCGTACGCTTCCTTTAGCGAATTCAATTGTTCCTCTAAATCGGCGTTGCGGTCTGCCAAGTCCTTCCGCATCGTGCGCTCTTCCATGGCGAGAACTTCCCAGTCGTGCATAGCCTGTTTAGCATTCTCGAATTCGTCACGCATGTAGGCTTCGGATTCAACGAGTTCTTCTTTCTCCTTGAGCCAATTTTGCTGAGAAAGCGTCAGGCGGTTGCGGAGGGTGGATAATTCTTTGGATTGTTCGGCTTGTTTTTGCGAGAGGTCGACGTTTCGAGCAGTGAGTTCTTCAACTTCCGCGGCGCGGGCGGTGTAGCGTTCTTGAAGTTCGGATCTTTGTTCTTCAAGTTCTTCTATTCGCGTGCGCGCTTGTGCTAGATCTTCCTGTAGTGGTGATTTCGTTAGTCTGGCTGGCGGGTCTCCTGCTCGCCTGGTCAAGAACCACGTACTGCATCGGCCTTTAATCTCTCGCCCAACTGCGACCGTATAGTGTTCACTTTTCCTAGGAGGGACTGATATTGTTCTTCTGCGTTTTCCTTCTCGGCCTGCGTGTCTGCCAGCTCTGTCTGGACCGCCTCGATTTCGGTGGCATGCTTGGCCTGCAGCTCTTCCAGGGACTTCCGCAGCTCGGCCACTTCAAGACGCAGAGCATCGCGGTCCTTTACAAGAGCATCAAAGCGGGCAGCCGCATCGTTGCTCTCGTCGACCGACAGAGCTTTGATCCCATTTGCGACAGCAGCCGTACTGGCACCTTCGTCCGTCAGCTCTTCTGCGGTGGGAGAGGCAGCAGGGCGCTCTGCTTCTGGCTCGTCATTTTCTTCTTCGTCCTCGTCGTCGGGCCCGTCGTGGGCCTCGGTGGAGTCGACCACCGGCGTCGAGGGAGCGTCTGTCGATGCGGCTTGCGCGTTGCCCTTCTTCTTGGACCTTTTCTTCTTCTTGGATTTCTGGTCTACCACAGTCAGCATGGGCGCACTTTGACTGCATCAGGACATACACGGACCTCCTTGAGGCATCGAAGACATGTTTGGGGAGGACATGGTCTATTCTGGGTCTGGAACAGCCCCGGACATTGAGATGCTGGATCTCGAAAGGTGTCAATTGTTGCTTGGCGTAATGCATTGCGCAAAACGCAGGTGCTGGTATCGGGCCCGCCCGTTCGCTTACAATTCGACCGAAGCAAAACATTGTCCTACCGAGTTCGCAAGCTGCCAACACAAAGGGTGTCCATGTACAGGATACCAGTGAAGAAATCATTTGCCAAGCCTCATTTCATATACAGGCCATTGTAAACCGAAGTCAGCTTGGGAATCATTTCAGCGTTTCCACAAACAACCCTCTCATCCCCTTCAAGAGAGTCCCGATCTCCCTGGTCGCATTCAACCGGTCCACGACCTTTGCGACTTTGGCGGCCTCTAACCTAGGCCTCATGTAGACCACGTCATATTTCCCATGCCCAGTGTCGGGCACCAGCAGTTCGAAGAGGGCCTCCCTTTCCTCACCGCCATTGCCACTACCTTTCACAGGCGGGAACACAAAAACAATCCTGACCTTGTTCTCATCCCCACTGCCTTCGATTCGACAACCCAAATACGTCTCCCAGAAATTCAGTTCAGGCCCGTTCAGTCGGCTCTGCCCCTCCATCTTCGCAGCGTATTCCCTCTGAGCCTGCAGCTTCGCATCAATCTGTCGCTGTGTTTGCGCAATTGCGGATTTGAGACGGTCTCGCTGGGCAGATTGAGCTGCTTGGTGGGATTCCAGTTTGGAGATTTGCGCGTGCATCTCGTTCTTCTCTGCCTGTTCACGGGCGAGGACCTGGCTGTGTGTTGACAGAGTGGATTGCAGAGTTACGATTTGTGTGCTTGCCGACCGCTGCTCCTCTATAGGGTCCATCAGTATCTCTCTCTCTCTCTCTCTCTCTCTTTTCGGCAATGGCAATGACTTCTGCGGAATGTTTTCCCCAGCTTACCGTTCAATTCCCCTAGACGCGCCCGAAATTCATTCCTCTCTTCTAGCACCCTCTTCCTCCCTCGTTCGATGAATGCGTCGAACTTGATCGTGAAATCGGCCATGCGCTTTCGTAGATCGTCAAAATTGAAGTCAACTGCGGGCAGCTGCGTGAGGGGGCTGTCCGAGTACGACATGGGCGTGGCCATTTGCGATTGCGACGCGCGGAATGAAGATGTGCCGGCAGAGAATGTCGATGGGGGGATAGCGGTGGCCATTATCGCGACAGAGTCCGTATTGCTTCGGTGAGGCGATTTCAGGAATTACTGCAAGCTGTTATGAAGTGAAGTGTTGGATACACTGGCAACTGCAAAGGTTGGGTGCGCAGCGCACAAATGCAGTCGACCGGGCAACCACCGCCGAGCGCCCCGCAGCTCATCGACCAAACACCACAGCTTCACTGCATTGTGTTATGCTGAGAAACAATTATTATATTTCTTTTTTTTTTTTTTTTTCCAGATTCACATCCATCAATTGCTATTTTGTTAATATAATTCGCTATGTCTTCGCTTGCTAGAACGCTTGTCGCACCCCTACAGAATCTTCCTTCACTTGATCGAGTTGTCCCTTATTTCCTGGGCCAGCTCTTCCCGCCCCTCGCTATTCTCGCTACTGGCATCCCCCCCAAGTAGCTGAGAAAGCATAGCTTCCATTTTTTCCAAGGTGTCTTCTATTTTGTGCAGTCTTGCCGTCGCCTCCAATAGTCGGGCGTCTTGATCACCGCCCAAGTCAACCAGTGAATCAATTCTTTGACGCCTGCTTGGCTTTCGATACCCGGCCGGATGTTGCCCCTCGTCCGCTCCCTCGTCACTCGAATCACGAAACTGATTTTTCAGCTTCTGGTCGACTTGGGACTCTCTTCTTGCGTTTGCCTCTGCCATTGAATCCCTTCTGTCTTTCTTCTTTGTCCGCGGACTAACCGACGGCCTTCGGTTCGAATCGATTGTCTGGCTCGCCCTCCTTTCCTCCGCTAATTGCGTAAATTGACCCTGCAATCTGGTGTTGGATAGGATCCCCATATCGTCGCTGTGATTCAAATTATCTTCTTCGGCAATCTTGTCCAGTACTGACTGTGGCGGATCAATGTCGAACACTGCGTGGATATCTCCATGTACACTAAACCTTGAGAGCGCCCAGTATTGTGCAGGTGTGGCTCGAGGTCCACCGGGGTTCTTCCAATCGATTTTCTTGCTGCTTGAAATTTTCCGCTTGTCAGACATCCATAGTGTTCTCCTCTCATACCATGCAACAATCAATAACGTTGGTAAGTTAATGGTCCTGACCGCTGCGACGTTGATCTTGTGGAACATTCTGTCTGAGAGTATCCACTTCATAGGGAGCATGAGGACCAGGGCCAGGATGTTAAAGGGTGGCATGTACGCGAAGATTGCGTCTGACTTGACCCCTTCAAAGGTGAGGACTGCTCGTCGAAACTGGATTTCTTGCACGGCGTTGCTGACGATGCCGCTGAATGTGTTGGTCAACATTGAGACAAGGACGGTCAAGAACAACGTGTTCCCCAGGAAAGCGAACAAAACCATCAAGACGGGCCCAAGAAGCCAATGGAAGTCTGGTGACTGGTCGATACCGGTCCCGTCCAGACCGAACCAGATCCAAATCATCCACTCTCCGATTGTCACCGCCTGATGCGCTCCAGCATGCAACCACTTGAGACTCAGGAGGAACCCAGCAAAACACCACACGGCCAGAGCGGTCAATGTCAAGAAATCAGACATCATCGCCCTCAGGGAGAGAAACAGCATGTTCTCAGACATGACGTTGAATGCCAATCGAGGAACGAGCACCGGGGCACCGCAGCTAAGGATGTCAAGGGCAGTCCGGGCGAAAGTAATGGACTTCTCCTCGTCGACAATCGAGAAGGCGTAAATTCGTAAGACCAGGTATATCATGAAAATTGTCGAGAACAGGACATCGAGGAACGACCACAGATTCTGTGTATACACGCCCCAACCGTGTTCGAGTATAGAAGCGAATTGATCGAGTACCTATCAGCATTTCCTAGTCAGCTTCGACCCTTTCTCGCACAGGGAAAAAGACGTACCCAACCAGCACCATAAACATCAAACACCATCTCGAGAATCTGATAATCAGTATTCATCCGGTTTTCCCTCCTGGCCATAACGGCAATGTACAACCCCAGCAAGACGGCAAACTGGCACACCTCGATCAAGTTCCTCGTCCGCGGCACAATCAATCTGTACTGATTCAGCAACGGAGCGCGTCGTGGATCATAGAGGGAAATGGGCCTTTTCTTCCAGTGGTCCGGGATAATGTCGATAAAACTGCTCGGCGTATACACGACCTTGCCACGATAGATGGCGTCGACGACCTTCTGGCACGCGCTGCTCGCCAAGAAGGACTTGCTTGCGCTGACAATGGCGACCTCCAGGGCGGTCAATTTCCTCTCCACCTTGCCCGACTTGGACTTCCGCTGCGCGGCCCAGTAATGCATGGCGTGCTGACTCTGCTTGGTCACCTCTTCAGGCGCACCTTGGAACGGTTCGAAGCCCGCAACGAGGATGTTAGCCAGTTTGAGGAGCCCCCTGGGCCCCGGATTGTGTTCGTTGTATCGACGGAGGATCTTTTCGGCGACGAGCTCACATAGAAGCGCGCGCGTGAGGTTTACCGTCTGATGGTGTGTTGCATAGGATTGTTCACGGATGAATTGCATTCGGTTGACGAGGAGGCAGTACACTGCAGTGAAGGGTCAGCGATAACAGTACAGTGGCGACCCCATGGGCTGTAAGGTGACAGACCGATTGATAAGTCGTTCGTCTCGTAGAGTGAATCGACCAAGGGACGCACGACAGAGATGTTCATGCGCGGCGCTTTGAGCTGGTCGAGAGAGTAGGGATCGTCTGGCATGGACGTGAGCGGTTGATTGTTGACGGAGGAGTATCATATTCATGCGCAAGCAACGTCAGGGGGGACTTACCGATACTCGTGATGATATCCCTCCGGATGCTATGCTCGCACGGCATGTCAGAAGCTTGATCCCGAAAAAGCATAAAACGAGAAAAGGCCCTGCTCTCTCTCCATTCATTTCTCCTTCCTCTCTAGACATTCCTCCACAACAATCTCACACACAATGTAATCTCCAAAAATATCTGCAATGCTCGCAATGTTCTCAATGGAGCCATCTGCCTTTTCCTCCAAACCACATATACCATTTTGTAGGTAGGGAGGCAGGCAGGCAGGCGGTTAGATGCAGTACAACACCTCTAGACACATGGTATGAAAAGGAGTCTGTAGGACGACCGTCGAACCGAACCAAACTCACCGATGAATATTCTCATAGACATTACAATGCGCGTTGCCAAAGGGGTCTGCCTCGCGCGGCGGGCGGCCGCCCAGCCGGTCCTGCTCGAGGCTCGTCCACGTGCAATGCGGCGGGTACAGGCCGTCGCTGTCGGCAAAGTCCTCCTCGTCGTGCTGCGTCGCCAGCAGCGCCTCGGTCTCGGTCCGCTGCCGGTTGAGCCGGAATTGGTGCGAGAAGGCCGAGCCCTTGCCGCCGCCGGTCCGTCGGCGCGAAGACAATAGCGAGGAGGACGAGGATTTTGATTTTGAGGGTGTTGGGCGCGGTGGTGCTGGGTTGTTATTGGTATTGGTGTTGTCGGCGCCGGTTCGGCTGGTGGGCGAGGAGAGGGAGGGCATGGTGGCTATGGTGGCTATGATTCGTGTGCTTTATGTTTCTCCCTATGTATGTGTCTGTCCTTGTGGGGAGATATTGATATAGGACGGCGCGGCGCGGCGCGAGAGGGAAAGAGAAAAATGGGCCAAAAAAGGGGGGGAAACCGCCAAAAGGCTTTGGAAAAGGCCAATCAAGAATTCAATCCCACGGTGGACATAGTCGTCGATGTCGATGTCGATGTTGTTTCGGGTAAAGGATCTACACATAACAACGGCCTCACGAGCTGTCGAATGCAAGTCCTCCGGTAACGTGCGCCCACGTGTAGAGATACAGAGGCGTATGCAGGGCTGATGCTGGAGTTATCGCGACAGACAGACAGATAATGGAGGGGGATAGACAGATAGCAAGATAGGTGGATAACAAATAATGGGAATTAGTGACGCCGTGCCACCAATCGGGAAGCCGGTGACGTTAAGCTTATCGCATCAAGCACGACGCTGAAAGCTTTACTCGGTACTTAGTACTTGCTAGTAGGACTCGGTAGCTGAAAAGACAAATCAGTAATAACAAGTCATTAGTAGTCTTCGCTATATCTCGTCAAATTGTTGGTCAAAGTCATAAAAGCCGGCCAGCTATATACAGGAGACATTACAGCGGGTCCCTCCATGGAACATTACCGAGTCCTTGGTGAGTGGTGCCACCGTAGGGTTATTATAACATGATCATGATCGTCGCAATGGCCGCCAACAAGATGCCCATCGGCCAAAAACTCGACAGTACGCCTTCTTGCAGCGGGCCTGCTTCACTGCTCACTTCGTACACCACGCTGGGCGACGCCGTCTGGGATACCGCACTTGAATCCACCATGACAATAACCAGTCCATTACTCGTGACCGTCTGTATGGCTTGAGCCCCCGGGGTAGTGGTGGTGTAAGAAGTCACCGTCGTCGTGCCAACCCATCCATTCGGTGAATTGGATGTCGGAGGGTTGTAACAGTTGTTGTCGCATTGATCACAGCATTCCCAGTAAACAATGGTCGAGGTAACAGGACAGGGTAGCACCGACGTGACTGTGACGATGACGTTCTCCTGCGTGTAGCGTGTGACATAGGTTGTTGAGGGCGTCCAGTACGACCAATATGATGTGGTTGTCGGTGTCGGTGTCCAATATCCGGAGTCACTAGATACGTGTCAGCGACGCCATGATCGGCAGAGGGAGGAGATGTGATGTGCTCACTAGGCCAAGCCTTGCCCTAGGAGAGTCCCGATGAACGTGAGAAGAGGCCACAGCATGACGGTTACTATTAGTAGATAGCGAGCGAATCGGATAGAGGAAATGTGGCACGGATCAAAGAGAGGCGGTCGTGGGTAGGGATGGGAAAGAGAGACGACAATCTGAAAGAATTGGAAACATCAAACCATGCCCACCTTTTTCATAGCTGCGAGATCTCAGCTGGTGCCATGGCTTGCGCGTTACGTAGTCCAGGAGCTTGAGCTGCAACAAACTTTCTCTTGAGTTCCAAGCTCGAAGCTCGATGGCGGCGTGGAGCTCCTCGCAGCTCACTTCGCCAGCTTGGTCGCCCTGGCAGAAAGGGTCGACCCCGCCATTGGATCCGCGGTTGCAGTAGAACAATCCGGGAAGAGGACTGTTCGAAGAGGGAGGGTGTGGGAAGGAAAAGTATGTCTTATCAACATGATGATTGCTTCAGAAACAGGTGAGGGGCTCGAATTCGCGCAGGATTTCTGGGTTCTGGGCGAAACCCAATGAAGGGCGCAGGGGCGAGCACTGGCGGGCAACAAGGATGTGAGGGTGCGGAAATGCCTTGCATGAAGCGTGCAGGGAGTTTTGAGGTAGGTAGAGACAAGTCAAAGTCCGTGGAGGAGCTGCGGCGTGATGTCAGCCTACTTGTTAGTGGCCCGAGCAAGTTGGGTGATGGCGGTGGATGAGAAGTTAGACGAGCGGACATGGATGACCGTGGAAGAAAAGAAGTCGAAGTGGTTCTGGTGTGGTGGTCCTCGCACATGGTGGTGGATGATGGTGGGACCCCAGGCAGTTCAGCGAGGTCGGGCGGGTGCGGCGACGGCGGGTGCCGGTGGCGGGGAGAAGTTTACTAGGAGGGTAGCGAGGAAGGTACCCAAACAGTTTCTCTCCCTCTTCACTAAGTGCCTATGTACATATACTCAGTACCTCTCTTTGCTCCTCCATCAACTCCTAGCTATGAGGCACTCGCCCCAACAGGAATATTAACCCCGTTGATTCCCGTCGAATCTTCGCTCAATAGCCATGTTATCGTCTCGGCCACCCTTTCCGGGTCAAGCAATACTACCCCTCGCCGCGCCATATCCGCCTCGGCCTCTTCTTCATCCTTGTACCACGATAACGCCATTCCAGTCTTCGTTGCGCCTTAAGAAACTTGTCAGCAAGCGGGTAGTGTAGGACAAATGGTTGTAGTGGCATAGGCTCACTTGGAGAAACGGCGTTCAATCTAATCCCCAGGGGTCCCAATTCCTTCGACACTGTGGTCGTTAAACATGCCACGGCGTGCTTTGTCACACAGTACGACAAGATGGTCGGGTCGTGGAATAGACTTGCAGCACTCGCAATGTTGACGATGCTTCGCGAGGACTGGGGCAATTCCATCATCGCCTTCACTTGTGCTCTCATGCTGTACAAGATCCCGGTGAGGTTCACATTCACCACGCGGCTCCACGTTTCGTCCGTTTCGTTCAGGAACATGGGCGGTTGTTGGCTTGCAGACATGTTGATGACCCCTGCGCAATTCACCGCTCCATCGAGACCGTCAAATGTGTTGACCGTGTCCTTGATCCAAGCATTGACGTCCAGGCTCGAAGTAACGTCGACTTTGGTCATGGATACCTGCATCTCGGGGTTGATGTCTTGTAGTTTCTTCCTTGCCATGTCAAAGAAGCCAGGGTTGACGTCGCCGATGGAGACGGCTCTGGCTTTTAGCCTGGCAAGTCTGCAGCATGTCGCCAATCCGAGACCAGAGCTGGCACCTGTCAGCGCAAATACTTTTCCAGCGATAGAAGCCATCAAGAGGCTCTGAAAGAAAGGCGCCCACGATTGGTCAGGTCCGTTTCCGACGAGAGGGCGGATATCAAATCCGAGACGTTGGAGAGGGAAAGAAGAGGATTCGTAGAACATCCACGACACTTATCACCACGTAGATACATCTCCCAAGTACTTCTGCCGAGGAAGGGGGATGGGTTGTTGCATTGCAGCCCATCCATGCCAGCACATCAGATCTGGTATTGGTCTGGGACGCTAGCTTCATGCAAGATATCTCGTGTGGCACAGCGATTCGGCCGAAGCACAACATTTTCACATTGTGATATACCCTACCACTTTTGGGCCGGACTGATTCCGTTAACTGCCGAAAGAGGGCTGCTGCAGACAGGCGTGAAGAATCCCTCGCCTGAGGGGCAGAAAAGGCGTGGTGGCGGCGAATCATTGCTCGAAGCACAAGGCGAAGGATTTCTCGAACGGGCAAATTGCATCGGCTTGCTATTGTCGTATGTTGTATCATTTCTCCGTATTACCTATGAGACAGAAACAGATGGCCTCCTCCACCTCACCTTTGACCACCTCTCCCAGCACCAGCGCCGCCGGCGCCTCCGCCCATGAACTGTTGTGCACTGTACATGTCAGCAAAAGTTCCCCAGACTCTTCGATCACACTCACAGATTCGCGAGGGCAGGGTCCTGCATCATTTGTTGTATTTGACTCATGTCAGGCATACCACCTCCGCCTTCTCGGTGGCTGTTTACCATGTTCTGGAGGGTTGGATTGCTCATCAGTCCGCTAAGGACTTCCGGGTTGCGCATGATGTTCTGTGCAATGGACGCGAACATAGGATTGCTCATGATGCTGGACAGGTCGGGCATGCCGCCGCCGCCACGACCACCGCCGAACATTCCTGCCAGACTGGCCAGATCCGGCATACCACCTCCACCACGCGTCTCGCCCGCGGCATCGTCCACTTCATCTTCGGGTATCTTCTGTTCCTCTGCCTCCATCCGAGCTAATTCCTTCTTGGCAGTCTCTAGACCTTTTCTCATGGCTTCACTGCCTCCATTTCCTTCAAAGTCGATGCCTTGTTGGTAAGCCTCGACGCTTCCTTTGGCATCGCCCATGGCGAATCTCGCAAGACCTAATCTTGACCAAGCCTTTGTATATTTGGGGTCTGCGGCGACGGCAAGTTCGGCATCCTTGACAGCGGAAGCGTGATCACCACTTGCCGAATACGCCGCCGCACGGTTGGAAAGATAGATGGGGTTTGTAGGAGCGTAGGAGATGGCCTGGGTGTATTTCTCAATAGCGGTCTTGTAGTCTTTTTGTTGCATGGCTGCGTTGCCTGCACTCTTGAGCTTCTCCGCCTCTGGGTTTATGGCTTTGGGGGCCGCTGGCTGCGGAGGAGGGGCTTGGGTTTCGGTCGTGGATGCCTTCCCTTGGAGTTTTTCGTAGACAGAGAAGATGTTGAGCAAAGATTGAGAGCCGACGGCTTCGGTCATGGCAGCCTTGTCGGAGGGGTCGACTTTGAAGGCTTCGGCGATACAATTACTCGCGATTTCAACATTGTCGGCATCATCTGCGGTGAGAGTGCCATCCTTGAGAGAGGTGGACAAGAAGTCTATTATCGACAGCGCCAGGCGCTTTTTGGAGTCGGACAGAGACTGCGACAAGATTAGCAGCCATCAATGACACGGACCAGTGAGACGTACCATGTTAAGCTGGGGAAGGAGACACGATGTTGGGGAGAATGGACAAATGTACAGTGTGAGGTATCTTTGCTGCCTTGTCAACAATGGGACTCGAGACTTTCAACATCCATGTCCAATGAGCGTCATCGTCATGCGGATCTCTTGGCATGCGGGCTGGCCCTCCTCTGCCCTCCATTTGCCCCTCAAATATCAAAGCTCCATGCCACGACTCAGACCACAAGCCCTTTCCTCTTTTCCCTAGAACCTGAATATACTCCATTATTTCCCTTGTATAAAGTCT